TTTATGATGAAGACATGTACATGTTGCTGTCAAGCCTTTTCTTCTAATACTCGAGATGTCTTCCGAGTTCAGTCGCGGAATTGCCATGGATTGAGTCTGACTGATGGGCTAGCTCTCACGCTGGGACTTTTTTCCCCACATATACTAGCGATGAGAAGCTAAATCTGGCATGGTTAGCTCTGGGTTTGGACCTGCACCATCCTTCATCTGTTTTTTCATGTTAATTAATGTCTCTTTCCAATCCCTCTGGTGTCTAATCTGTCAGGCTAGCTGTGTCCTTGGTTAGGCTAATGTCCTTCATTTCAGCATGGTAAGAATCCCACCGATTTGGTGCTATTAAGTCTCAGTTGGGTCTAGTGAGCCACCGAGCCAAATTTAGACCACGCCAGCAGACTCACAAGAGGATTACACACCGCCAAGAGGGAAAGTAGATGTTCTTTGATGTTGGAGAAAACACCTTCTGGCTGTATTGCAGTTTTTTTTTTTTTTTTTTATTCTAAATCAGTTTTATTGTATTTCTATGGTGTCTTTTTTGGGGTGTGAATGGACTTTCAGCTTAATGGCAAGCAGACACGCTCAGTGAGAATTTCCCAAAATGTAGTCAGTGCACTGGGAATAATCTGTTGTATATTAATGTAGGGACAGCTGCTAGCAGTCCAGAAATGTTAGCGATATTAGCGGCAACCTAGTCAGTGGGTTAGTTTAATCTGCAGATTAGTATGAATGATTTCAAAATGCCTTTGGTTTTGATATCAAATCTTTGAGTTATACACAAGCTTTTGAAAGCAGATAAAAATAGAGACGTGTAAACAAACACCCTTATTCCTATGTGTATTATGTTTCTTAGAAATATAGTCATGTCTAAGCAGTAGACTTGTCATCATCCCAAAGTCATTTATAGATGCTTTTGTCAGCTATTTATATATGGGGCAGTAAGGATGTCCATGATAAACAAAAACACACTATTTCTTAGAAATGTACACTTTTAAAATAAAAATGAGTAACTTGAATGACTTGAATGTCATGTCAGGAATGAAAAATTTCATGTGGTGTAACCAAGTAAAAAAGTTACATATTTCCCTTGTGAAAGATTACTTTCAGCAATGATGCAATAGAGTGATCAAACATTATATATGTATACACACACACACACACACATATATATATATATATTGCAATTTTAAATTAGTTTGTATTTTAATATAATTTTCAAATGTCCTATACATTTAAGTTTAGTTTTAGTTAGTTTCATTAATGGTTTTGTTAGTTTTAGTTTAGATGTTATTTTGTGAACACATCTATATTTAGTTTTCTGGTACACGATGAGAGCTTATTAAAAATTATTATTTATTTTTTTGCTAATTATTATTTTATATCAGTTAGTTTTTCAGTAACTGTTGTTAGTTTCGTTTAGTTTTAGTTTTTCATTTATGTTGAAAATTCTATTGTATTTCAGTTTACGAAAATGTTTTTTGACCAATAGGTTTAGTCTTAGTTTCAGTTTTCATTTAGGAAAATAACCTTGACGCACGCACACACACACACACACACACACACACACGCACACACGCACTACCATTCAAAACTTTGGGATCTGTACGATTTTTTATGTTTTTAAAAGAAGACTCTTATGCTAAACATGGCTGCATGCATGCATTATTTGATAAAAAAACCCAGTAATATTGTAAAGTATTATTACAATGTAAAATAACTGTTTTCTTGTCACAGGATCCTCCACACCAGCCATCACACCCTCAACACCTGATCACCCAGCATCATCCGATCCCAATCACCCGAATTCTAACGCAATGCACCTGCACCAGCTCATTATCTCACCCTTCTTAAACCATCACTCTCCACACTGTCATGGTCTCGTTGTTGCTATACGCTTCAACTCACCTGGCTACCTACCAGATCTCCATTGACCTGTCTTGCCAGTCATCCGTCTTCTGCCTTCAGTCATCTGTTTGATTTGTCCAGCATTTCATGCTCTCATCTCTCTCTGCAAAAACAAGGAAGCACAATCAATGTCCAGCTAAGTGTCTGCAATCTATCTGACTATCTTATACTCCCCATTAATCAAATACATATACCTGCTTAGTTGAATTACCTGTGTTGTCTCCTTCTGTTGCTAACATTTCTATTTTAAAATGTGATTTTTTTTTTTTCCTGTGATGGTAAAGCTGAATTTACAGCATCATTACTCCAGTCTTCACTGTCACATGATCCTTCAAAAATCATTGTAATTTACTGCTCAAGAGACGATTATTAATGTTGAAAACAGTTGTGTACAATTTTCTTTATTTTTTTTCAGAATTCTATTCATCAAAGAATCCTGGAAAATAATTGTACACAACTGTTTTCAACATTGATAATAATAAATGTTTAGCATATTAGAATGATTTCTGAAGGATCATGTGACACCGAAGACTGGAGTATTGATGCTGAAAATTCAGCTTTGCCATCACAGAAATAAATACCGTAGTTTATATAAAAGATC